GACTTGAGATGGGACCAACGCTTTCTAGAAACAGGATACTCAGAAATGAATGAATAAGACAAAAGTAGGATTCTGTTAGGAAAAAAGAAATGGCAGGCCCATTGATTTATGTTGGGGAGGTGATCAGTGTCTGTTTCAAGGGGTCAGAGCACCCTCTATAGACAAAGAATTTGAGCAGTGACAATGTTATGTGGCTCTTGAGAACATTGTATGAAGAAGCTGAGCCAGCCAAGGAAACATTGGATAACTAAGTGAGAAACCAGGAATTCTTGGTTAAACCAAAGACTTCATTTGGGAACCAAAAATCTTAAACTCTTGGCACTGAAGTAATATTTTTCCCTGAAAAGTATGCATTTTTTTAGGCATAATTTTGTTAGGGATTATGTTATTGAGGAATGAACTGAGGTGAATATGTGGAAGTGTTATCTAAGGGTTAAAAATCTGAAGACTGCAGATTTAAAAATCCAACTCTATTATAACTTTTTAAAAGATTGTGAAGTTATCAAAATGCACATGAATCAAGTTTTAATGTGCAGTATGATGGGTGGATGAGGACGCTGTCCATTGCACCATTTCTTTCTTTGAATTCTCAGGCATACTTTAGCCCTGCAAGAACTCTGTAACATTAACAAGCTCAATAAAAAGTGAATATATGGTATAAAAGGAGAAGAAACAATCACCCTGACAATATTTCCCATATTAACAGAGATTTTCCAGGGCCTTGTCTTACAACACATTTGAATCTTATTACCAGTGGCAGAAATAGCATCGAGACAGTAAGGTGTTACAGAGACTGAATCTCACCATGTTTTCTTTCTAATTCTCCCCATGGGAGACTTGGAATGCTGGGGATCTTTTAGACCATGGATGGGACATGGTTGAGGGGGTTAGGGGCAACATGAATGAATTTTGTGCAGGTAGGAAATGTTGTGTATCTTCACTATGTCAATGTTGTGGTGTTTTGCTATAGTTTTATACTACTGGGTTGTCGGAAAAGTCATGACATATTTTTTCTGTGTTTTTCAAGCAAAAACGCATTATGGCTTTTCTGACAGCCCCAATATATTTATGATATTTTACTACAGTTCTATAAGATGTTATTATTGAGAGAAACTGGGTAAAGAGTAACAGGAATATTTCTTACAATTGCACATGAATCTACAATTATCTCAGAAGAAAAAGTCTAATTTTGCATTGAGGAAATATTTATCTGAATTATTGAGTTATTTTGTGTTAGCTCCCATTAAATTGTATTGTTGAGTGCCTCTGTCTGCCTCCCCTACACTCACATCCCACACTCAGTCACAATGCCACTTCTTTTTTTCCTTTCTAAAACACCACAATTTTTTTTTTACTGTGGTAAAATGCTTATTGAAAATTTATCATTTTAACCATTTTTTAGTGCACAGTTCTGTGGCATTTAAGTTCACTTGCTCTGCAAATGGTGCCATCATTCATTTCTAGAACACTTCTCATCTTCCCAGACTGAAGCTCTGTATCCATGAAACAATAACTCCTTAGTCCTTCCTTCACCATGAATCTGACAATCTAGGAGCCTCACATATATTATTTGTCTTTTTGTGATGTGGCTGGCTAATTTAATATAATGTCCTCCAGGTTGTGCAGCATGTCAAAAATATTCTTCCCTTTTAATATTCTGTTGTAGGAACATAACCACACTTTGTTTATCCATTCAACTGTCACTGGACATGAGCTGCTTCCACCGTTAGCAAGGGGTCAAGTCCCTGCTTTCACTTCTTTTGGGTATATATGTAGCAGTGGAATTATATCCTATGGTAATTCTGTGTTTATTTTTGGGGGGACTGCAACACTGGTTTTTTTTTTTAAATAATAAATTTTATTTTTATATTCCCCATACAATTTCAACCCCCCCATTCTGACCCCAATCCCTCCCCTCCCGCCCCCCCACCCCCCAAAAAGTGTCTCTGGTTCATAGTTTTTTGTTGATTTTGATTTTCACTTTCTTATAGTTATTCATTTTCCTGGTCCCTTATTTAAGTTTTCTAGATTCCTGCTATGAGTGAGACCATCCGGTATTTTTCTTTTTCTTTCTGGCTTATTTCGTTGAGCATGATCTCTTCTAGCGCCATCCATGTTGCTGCAAATTGCATGTGTTTATCTTTTTTGAATGCTGAGTAATATTCCATGGTGTATATGTACCACATCTTCTTGATCCAGTCATCTATTTTTGGGTATTTGGGCTGTTTCCAAAGCTTAGCTATTGTAAATAGCGCTGCTATAAACATAGGGGTGCAGGTGCTCTTTGGAGTTGATGTTTCTGTGTCCTTTGGGTAAATACCTAGGAGTGGAATTGCTGGATCATATGGAAGCTCTGTGTTTAGTAGGTCAAGAAATCTCCACACAGCTCTCCAGAGTGGTTGGACCAGTTGCAACACTGTTTTCCATAGTGGCCACACCATTTTGCTTTACCATCAGCAATACACAAAGGTGATAATTTCTCCACAACCTTATAACATTTGATATTTTTCAAATGGAGATATAATTGACACACAATATTGCATTTTTAAGTACAAAACACAATAATTTGAGAGAGACACACATATGCATATACACACAAAAGGAGCTAAATGATTATCAGAATAAATTCAGTTAACATTAATTGCCACAAAATACTACAACTTTTTTCTTGCAGTAAGAACTTTTAAGACCTACTCTCAGCAACCTTCAAATATGCAATATGGCATTGTTAATTATAGTCACATACTGTAGTATTTATCCCCAGGACTTATTTATCTTATAACTGGAAATTTGTATCTCTTGACCACCTTCACTTTTGCTTACCTTCCACCACTGCCTCCGCAACTTCCATTTGTTCTCAATATCTGTGACTACTTCTTTTTTGTTTTGGATTTTACATATAAATGAGATCATATAGTATTTGTCTTCTCTGATTTGTTTCATTTAACATAATGCCTTCAATGTCCTTTTGTGTTGTTGCAAGTAGCAGGATTTCCTTCCTTTTTTATGACTGAATAATAATGACTAATAAAAATATATAATATGGGGCCTCCCTGGTGGCGCAGCGGTTGAGCGCTGGGTTGTGAAGCTGCTCGCGGCCTCTGCAGCACTGGTTCGATCCCCGGCTGCTCCCCGGCCACTGCAGGAGGGTCCCACATGGCGCGCAGACCTCTCCTGCCGCCCGCTGCTCCCCTCAGCAGTGTACTTCGGTCCTTCTGCCTGTTCTGCTCCCTGCTCTGGCTCTGGTGAATTCTCTCACCCTCCCATGCTTCTGACTGTACCCAGTGCTTGTATAAATAAATAAATAAATCTTAAAAAAAAAATATATATATATATAATATGAATTTTATCCTTTATTTGTTAATGTGATGTGTGTAGCACAATTGAGTGATATATGGATATGGAACCATTCTTTAATCCCTGGTTATAAATAAATCTCACTTGATCGTGTCGTATGATCCCTGTAGTGTATTGTTATATTTGGTTTACTAATATTTTGTTGAGGATTTTTCCAGCTTTATTCACAGATATTGGCCTGTATTTTCTTTTCTTTTAGTGACCATATGTGGTTTTGGTATCAAAATATTATTGGCCCTGTAAAATGAGTTTAAAAGTGTTCCCTCCTCATCTATATTTGGGAAGATTTTGAGAAGCATTGGCAATACATAATTCGTTGAATGTTTGGTAGAATTTACAAGTTAAGCCATCTAATCCTAGGTTTTTTGTTTGTTGTTGTCAGGAGATTTTTGGTTATTGGTTCCATTTTCTCACTGGTAATCAGTTTAGATTTTTATTTCATATTTATTTGTATTAGATTTTTAGTTTTTGTGGGTTGTATGTTTCCATGAATTGATCCATTTCTTCTAGGTTATCCAGTTTGGAGCTTGTAATTATTCAGATTAGTCTCTTATGATCCTTTGTATTACTGTCATGTTAATCTAATTTTATTTCTTTGAGTCCTCTCTCTTTCTTGGCAAATTTAGCTAAAGTTTTTAATTTTCTTTTTTCTGAGAAGTAGCTCTTAGCTTCAGAAAATATGTCTTTTTAGTCTCCATTTCATTTCATTCTGCTCTGATCTTTATATTTCCTAAAAATGCTACTTTCTAGTAAATAATATTAGACAAGTTATCATCACTACGCCTTAGTTTTCTTATCCTTACAATGAAAATGACAATAATTCTTACCTCTTAGGATTTTTGCCAGCATTTAAGATGGAATTGCATATAATATAACTAGTGTATTGTTGGAAATCCTAATTAAATTTTCACTGCACAGCCTAATCAGAACATGGCACCAGAACCACAGCATTAATGGTAACAAGAGGATGGAGCTAGAATTAGGGTCATTTTACTTAATGCCTCAACTTCCAGGTGACAGGTCAGTATGTATGCTAAATGGGGAAACTCCCACCCCCACCCCCACCCCCAGCATGGGCTTCATGGACATGCAACCTGTGCAGCTTCACGGGGTGCAATATTGGCATAATGTTCTGCTGTCACCATCTTGAAATTCTTCTTAATTCTTCAACAAAGGGTGACAGGAAAAATTTACGCATTTGATCCTGCCTTCTTTTAACCAAAGCTCATGTACTCCAGAAGACAGAGTCTCTGCTGTGCAGCATAAAGGAGATAGAAACTTCTTCCTAGTACTATAGCAGCCAGACTCCCAGACCTATTTTTTCTGCCATGACTCCAGCTCTATGATACCTCCTCATTCAAAGATGCCCCACTGACCTAAAAAAATCACACTTATCCACAAGTGGATATTTTCTTAGTTTTATGAGTAAGGGCAGGGTGGTTTGTAGAAGGTTTTCCCTCCCATTTTGTGGTTTTGGGTACTTTCATTTGATCACTTTTCATTAAACAGAAGGATTTTGTGGACCGATTAGAGCTCTGCTCAGCCACAGTAGAAAAAAAATAATCTGTGGGCCTTGAAGAAACAGAAAAGGCTCAAGAAGAAAAACACATAAAATCATTAAACTATCACCTTGGTGGTATTTCTATATTGTCAAAACCACTCTGAAGTCTGTCTCACTAACAAGAAGCATTCTTGGGGTTTTACAGGCTTTGAGTTGGGAAGGAATTTCTCTGTGAGATGGTTGAGGTTGTAGTCAGTAAAATGATCCAGTGGAGCAATATTGCCCTTGGAGCTGACAACTTGGAGTCTTGTTTATCCAGGTGCAGTGCCCCTGTGCAAATCTGTCCACTCAGCCACTTTGCCACAAGGGTCTGCCAAGATAGCTAGGTGCCCCTGGGTAGTCAGCTCAGCTGAGGAAGGCTGCACCTCGCAGGAGAGTGGAGGGAGCCCAGAAGGGGGAGTGGATGGCTTCTTACAGTGAAGGGATGTGTCTGGAATAACAAAGGAAAGAAATCAAAACAGAACAAACCCACAGCAGAGGAGTTCCAACCAAGTTTAGAAGTGATGACAGTGAAAAGAAAATTTAGCCGAAGTTCTAACTATGGCTAGGGTTATAACAGTTAATAAATCAGTGAGTCTGGAAAATGTTACATCTCAACAATAAAATTAGGAGGTTGCAATACTGTCATTCTACTAATGTTATTAAAAATAGTAATTACTAACACATGTTTGTCTCCTCTTTAGATATATGTCTTTTATTTATTGTTCAGTAAGTCTTATCTTCTTTAGGAGACAGTGTGCATGTTGGAAGAATGAATTCTGCCACTTGCTACCTATGTGGCCTTAGGTGGTGGATGATTTTAGATCTCCAAACCTCAGTTTATTTGCCTGTAAATTGGATTTCATAATTTCTATTTCCTTGGGTGGTGGTTTTAAAATATTTGACAACAGCCAGGAATAAGAAATATCATCTTATATCACAAAGTAACATACTACATCTACACATACACCTACACATATATCACCAACGAAGAGCTGCTATAATGTGATGCACGCTCATATTTTTTCAATGATATTCAAGAATTTTTGGTTGTGAGCCACCAAACTGACATCGTAATGTCATCTTTCAAAAATACCATAGTAGGTTCCTCTGCCCAATAAAGGATGTGCTATACTCAAAGTGTCTAAGTCACAGAATAAATCAGTAAGTAAAAACTCCCGGGCAGCCAAATTTAGCACTAGCCGCAATTAGTAGTTTGTGTTGCGAAGACCTCTGTATGCTTCTATAGTTTCCATAATTCAGTACACAAGCACTTACTACTGTGGTATCAGTGCTGATTTGGTCTGTGCTGATGACCAGCAACCATCGTGGATTCTTCGCTAACAATTAATTTGATCTTGAGTCATATTTAATCTACAACAAACTAATCAACAATCTAAGAAGTAAGGATTGCTAGACATTGGTGGTTAAGGGGAAATATGGCCTTACATTTACATAAATTATATTTTTCTATGTACTTTCACGATGTTCTTTCACTGACCCTTTATAATAACTCTCAGCAACTGCTAAAATAGAAGACATTGGGCATCCCTGGTGGCGCAACAGGTTAAGCACCGCACTTTGAGGCATTCCACAGCCACTACAGCACAAGTTCGGTCCCCGGTCCAGGGAGAAACCCACATGGCGCAGCAGACCTCTCCTGCCTCTCCCGCTACTCCCCTCAGCAGTGTACTTCAGTCAATCTGCCTGTTCTGCTCCCCACTCTGTCTCTGGTGAATCCTCTTACTGCCCCCACCCCCACATCTCTGGCCTGTACCCCAGCTCTTGTACGCATAAATAAATGAATCTTTAAAAAAAATAAAATAAAATAGAACACATTATTCTCATTTTGGATGTCTTAAACCTGGGGTGCAGAGAAGTAGGCTTGTGTTCTTGACATGATAAATAGAAGTAGTTATCACTAATCTCCCTATTCTCCCAAACTCCTATGCCCAGCATAAGTTTGCACCTGTCTGCTGGAAAACCATCTGACAATTGGATGGACTCATTGCATGCACTCGCCAGTTATAGAACACAAGTTCCTGGAAAATAGTCCCAATGTGCGCCCCTAGCTAATTCTGACTGGTGTGTTTTCTGAGTTAGTGTGAACTCTGAAGTCAAACTGCTCGGCCTTCTGTCTACACCCGTAACCTCAGGCGGGTAGAGGCCATGTTGCTGCCTCAAGGCTGCTGACAAAGGCAGCTTATAGCACCCGCTCTCTCCTCTGTCCCCACCACTTTTGATTCACACCTCTGCGATGGCACGCCACAGATCATACTGTACTTGCTTTTTTCTTTGCTTCGCTCGCGGGCCATGAGTCCTCCTGGGCACACATCCTCTATTAGATGCCTTTATGTTTCCCAAACCTAGCACGGGCTCCCGCAGGGGCTGAGGTCTGGCAAATTTTGTTGAATGAGAGAATGAAGGACTCTTGAGCTGAAAGCAGCAGTGAGAGCAGACGAGGAGAGGTTGGCGCTCTCTCTTCCCTCCTCTCTGCAACCCTTTTGCTGGAAAGATGCATTTTCTCTATCATCAAGTCAAAGGAAAATAAGTTGCGATCTGGTCTCTCTTGCTCACTTTTGAGAAGCCACAAAATATAGAACACTCTGAGGGTTCCTCAAAGTCCACAGTGCATCCCTGGCTTCTGAGCACCGCAGCTCTGCCAGCTGCTCCTGTTTTGGAAGCCGACACTAGGCTGCAGAGAAACCACTCCCCTGAGAACAAGGACTTCCAGTGCACGTCCCCAGGCAGAGCTGGGGCTCTGCCTATCAGCAGCGATGATGATGATGATGATTGACAAGACTGCTGAAGCTGCAGCTCAGAAAACATGCTTTTCCAAATCAGCCAAGAAACTTATTTCTTGCAATTCAAATTCCACATTTTAGGGATGCAGGAGTCCAGGGGGGCCCTGGTCCTAGCAGGAAAACAACGGAGAGTGTGACATGTATGTGTTTATCTCCGTCCTTGGAATATTTTCACTTTTCACTGCCTTTCTAAACCATTTTTCATTTTTCAAACTTTTTAAAATAAAAGTTATAGACGTACGAAAGTTGATAGAAGACACAAATAACGAATCATGATCTCACTCTATAGGGAAACCATTGATAACATATCGGTGTATACATTTTCAGGCCTCTTGCATGCTCTGTGTCTATTGTTGTATGTGTCTAAGTGATGATATTGTTCTCACAGCTTTGTTGGCAAATTTTCATTCAAAAATATAAACATGTTGCCATTTTATAATTCTTAAAATTCCTTAGTCCTTAAATCCCTCAAGAATACTATCTTTGCATTGTCCAACACTATGTTACTAGTCTTTAGTGCATCATCCATGTCTCTTGAGGCCATTCATGCCTTCTGTGTGTATAGAATCACACTTTCTCAGCACAGGAGACACTGAATGAACACAGTAGATGTTTGATGAAGTGAATGGAATGGAATTTCTCACCTGTCTCTGCAGTGAGCTCAGGTGTTAAGGTCACCAGGAACAAACTGGGCAGATGTACCAAGCCTCTTTCAGGAGGTGGGGTCCCATTTGTTCCTCAAGACAACCTGTTATTCTGGAGTTTGAGTAACATAATTTCATGTATTTGGTCACCAGCCCACTGTCCCATTGCAGGACTCCAGGGTCTGTTACTCCCTGGGTTTATCCTATAACCTGAAGCTCTGTGTCTTCATTTCCTCAGAGAGGCAGTGACTCTAGCCTCCACCTCCCAGGGAGATGATGTCATGAATGTGAACATTCCAGGGAGCAGTTGTGGAGACAAGTTCTCTATAAACCCTCAGTTGAGTGGGATTTTTGCCCTTTGTACACCACACATCAACTCACAGACTTTTCAAGGTTCTTTTGATGAAGAAATAAGATTGACTAGGCATCCTACAAAAATCTTTTATTTTCCAAATTAAAGTTGGGATTTCACGTATAAATATTTTTATTTATGTTCATGATACATGCAACCAATGCACCCTTTGGTCTCTTGGAATCTGGTTTGTTTTATAACAGCATCTTCCAGCTGGACTTAATTTGCTTCTGGCGAGAGCTCCCTCTACATACTACTAGAACAGTAGGTTTTAGATTATGTTGACAGGAAAGGAAATCCTGGAGGTCCGTGTGGTTTATTCATTTATTTGTCCATGCATTAATTCATTCAACACACATTGAACACTGATTTTTTTGGCCAGGCACTGGAATAAAGAAGTTAAAGAGACCATCTTTGTGCCTAGGAGCTCACATTCCTATGGAGGAAGAAGACATACCAATAAACAGCTCCACTTCAAAGGATAGGCTGTGAAAATATGATAAATATTTCTTGGGGTCCTATTGTATGCCAAAGACTGTTCTGGAAGTGAGGATATGTTGCGCACACACAATTGCCATCAAGAGCTTATATATTTAGTGGTAGGGGAAAAACACTACAATTTGGCTGTTTTAGCGAAATATGTTAGGTGAAGCCAGTTAACTGCCTGAGGAAGTCATGGAAGACTTCCTATAGGAGGTAACGTCTCAGCTGCATCTTAATGGATGATTAGGGACCTTTCAAATGAAGGCTATAAGACGTAGAAGTTGTGGTGAAATGTAGGTGGGAGAAGGCTTTCCAGTCTGGAAACACCATCTGTCAATGCATGTGTGGTTGGAAAAGATGAGAAGATTGTAGAGGGACTTAAATATATTGATAAGGAGTTTCGATTTCATTCAGTAGATGCTAGGGCCTTTTGCAGGCACCTAACATTGTAAGATTTGTGTTTTAGGTAATATTTCAACGGCAATAAGAAAAAGAGATATCTTATGACTAAGAATGAGCAAGAATGTTGTCAAGGAAAAAGGTTAGGAGTCTGATCCATTTACTCCAAACAGAAATTGGTAAGTGCTTGAACTAGAACAGTGGTATTGACTGGAGAAGGAGGGATGTATTCAAAAGAAATTTAGGTTATATAATCTAGATCCAGTAGAATATTTGTTGAACATTGAGTGAGGGTCATTAGAAAGGATGAATTCAAAGCGATTGCTGGGTTTCTGGTTTCAGTGCCTTAAGCTGTTGACATATTATGATGCCATAAGGATCAGAGGAAGTTACCCTGGGCGTTCTTTTGGTAGTTGTCAGGTTGCTGTTTGAAGATGCCAAACTGTCCAGAGAATAGCTGGAGAGCTGCTTGATTTGTGCGGGTCCTTTAAGGATAGAAATGGAGTTTGGGCATATATGCTTGTGCACACACGGGTCCTTGAATAGTATCATTTCATTCATCATCATTTCATTATAATGTTGATGAGAAAAAAAAAACAATCCCAGTTGATACTGATACCTTAAGCTAGTGTCCTTTAGCTTAAGGTCAGTTTCCACTAATCTGTGGGTGATGTTAAGTGAGTACTTAGGCCATGTGTGAGTTAAGTGAGAACTGATGTCGTACATGTGACCTGCCACGTGTACTGACTCCACTTGTTTAAGTAGCCCA